GAAATTATAAATACTAGAGCAGAAATGAACACAATTGAGAATAAGAAAACAATACAAATAATTAATGAATCAAAAATTGTTTTATTTGAAAGAATAAATAAAATTGATATATCATTAGCTAGCCTTAGCAAAAAAAATAAAAATAAAAAAACAAAGAAAAGACTCAAAGGCATGTAATACGGAAGAAAAAGGGTGAAATCACTACAGATCATATGGAAAATCAGAAGATCATCAATACCTACATCAAAAATCTTCACTCACTTTGGATGGACAGCATAGTAGGTTGGACAGATTCCTAGATATACATGAATTATCAAAGCTGAAGCAAGAAGACATAAACATTCTCAATAACTCAATATCATTAAATGAAATTGAAAATGTAATTAAAAAATTACCAACAAGAAAATCCCAGGTCCTGATTATATTTACTACTGAATTCTACAAAAAATTTAGAAAAGATTTAATGTCAATGTTCTTCAAAATATTTAATGAAAGGGAAGCAATTCCCCAAAACTAATTCCTGGAGGCAAATATTACTCTGATCCAAAATCAGAAAAAGATCCAACCAAAAAAGAGAACTACAAGCTAATGTCCAATGAACATAGATACAAAAATACTCAATAAGATACTAGCAAACATAATATAGCAAATCATCAAGAAGAGTATACATGATGACCAAGCAGATTTATCCCATGAATGCAGGGATGGTTCCATATAAACAAATCAGTAAATGTAATATGTCATATCAACAAAGCCAAACACAGAAATCACAAAATCATCTCAATAAATGCAGAAAATGCTCTTGATAAGGCCCAGCACTCATTCATGATAAAAACCCTATAGAATATTAGAATAGATGGTCGTTACCTCAATCTGACAAAAGCTATCTTTTAATAGCTATTGTACTAAATGAGCAAAAACTAAAAGCTTTTACTCTAAAATCAGGACAAGCCAAAGATGTCCACTATCACTACTCCTATTCAATATAGTTCTGGAAATACTATTCAGAGAAGTTAGACAAGAGAGAGAGAGAAATAAAAGGAATTAAGATAAGATTGGAGGCCTCTCTGCTCGGTGATGGTCATTGTTCTCCAGAACAGGGATGGAGGAACTGTCAGCCCAAGAAGCCTCAGGATCACCAAGGGTCCAGTTTCAGTCTTTGGAGACCCGGTCTGAGTGTCTCTCCCCAGAGCCTCAATTCATGCAGGGCACCGACATGGAGCAGGGACTCACTGGGGGATTTCCAATTTCCAAGCCTGATGGGATCTTCCAGCTGGAACAAGATCTACAGGTCTTTGATCTGGAAACTAAGAATAGAGAAGTCTTAAGAGGTGACTGCTCAGATGGAGAAACCAGAGACGAGAACAAGCTGTTGATTCCTAAGCAGAAAATTTCGGAAGAAGTACATTCATACAAAGTGAGAGTAGGAAGACTCAAACAGGATATTGTCCAATTTCCTGAGACTAGAGAAGTATATAAGTCTGAGGACAGATTAGAAAGGCTTCAGGAAATCCTAAGGAAATTTCTCTTCCTCGAAAGAGAGTTTAGACAAATAGCAATCAGCAAGAAAACCTTCACCAGTGAGAACAGTGAATGTAATGAACCTGAAAAAAGCTTCAGTCTGGATTCTGCCCTTGATACAGGGCACAGAGTTCTTAGAATACAGAATATTGATGACAGTAAGTATGATATGAACTTCCAGAACTCAGCTGCTGATAAACATGAACACATAAATCTACAACAGAATTTTCAGAATAGTGAATACAAAGAAAGCCCAATGGATCTCTCCCACTTTAATAAATGGGAGAGCATTTCTGCCACTGAGAAATCCTATAAATGTGATACATGTGGGAAAACCTTTCATCAGAGCTCAGCCCTTACTAGACATCAAAGAATCCATACCAGAGAGAAACCCTACAAATGTAAAGAATGTGAAAAATCTTTCAGTCAGAGCTCAAGTCTCAGTCGACATAAAAGAATACACACTAGAGAAAAACCTTATAAATGTGAAGCATCTGATAAATCCTGTGAAAAGTCTAATAAATCATGTAGTCAGAGTTCAGATGTAATTCAGCATAAGAAGATTCACACCAAAGCCAAATCTTACAAGTGTAACAACTGTGAAAGAGTCTTCAGTCGTAGTGTACACCTTACTCAACACCAGAGAATTCACAGAGAGATGCCCTGTAGGTGTACTGTATGTGGCAGTGACTTCTGTCATACTTCATATCTAGTTGAACATCAGAGGGTCCACCACCATGAAGAAAAATCCTATGAATATGATGAATGTGGGTTGGCCTATGTTAAACATCAAGGAATTTGTTTCAGAGAAAAACCCTATACATGTAATGAATGTGGAAAAGACTTCAGATTGAATTCGCATCTTATTCAGCATCGACGAATTCATACAGGAGATAAATCACATGAATGTAATGAGTGTGGAAAAGCTTTCAGTCAGACCTCATGCCTTATTCAGCATCACAAAATGCCTAGGAAAGAGAAATCATATGAATGTAATGATTATGAGGAAAGTTTCAGTCATAGCTCAGATCTTATCCTGCAACAAGAAGTACTCACCAGAGAAAAAGTCTTTGACTGTGATGCCTGGGAAAAGAACTTCAGTCAGAGAGCACATCTTGTTCAGCATCAACCAATTCATACCAAAGAGAAACCTTATGAATGCAGTGAACATGAGAAGACATTTAGTCAAGTTCAGTCCTCATTCAACATCTGAGAGTTCACACCAGGGTGAAGTCAGTATGTACTGCATGGTAAAGTTTCAGTCAGAGCTCAGACTATATTCTAAGGTGGAATTCTTGAGACAGACCCTCTGAATGTGATAAATATTGGGAAGCTTTTAGTGTTAAACTCTTAATTGGCTCCTGCAATCCATACCGGTGAGAAAAGCT